CTCCCCCGCGGAGCCCCGAGCCCCACCGCGCGCTCCCCCGCGGAGCCCCGAGCCCCACCGCGCGCTCCCCCGCGGAGACCCGAGCCCAAAGGGAGGCAGAATCTCATCACCCAGCCAGGCTACATGGGGCGATAGTTACCCAGTAACGAAGCACATCGGGCTCTGACCTGGGAAGGCCTGGGGGGAGAGAATATGGCTCTCCGGTGGGATCATAGACAGGACGAGGGAGCGTGGCCAGCAGGGCGCTGGCGCGGTGGGATCATAGACAGGACGAGGGAGCGTGGCCAGCAGGGCGCTGGCGCGGCGCTGGCGCGGCCCCTGCCGTGGCAGTGGTGGTGTCATGATGGCTGGTGGCGGTGAAAGGCATGGAGCTGTGGGGTGGTCACCGCGGAGATGGGATGGTGGTGATGGGGATGGTAGCTGTGGTGGTGATGGTGGAGGTGGTGATGATGATGCTGATCGTGGCCATGGTGGTGGTGGTGGTGGTTTATGGTGATAGCGGTGAATAGTGGTGGTGATGATGGTGGTGGTGATGATGATGGTGATCTTGGCCATGATGGTGATGATGGTGGTAGTGATGATGGTGACCATGGCCGTGGTGATGATGGTGATGATGATGATGGTGATAGTGATGATGATGGTGGTGGTGGTGGTGGTGATAGTGAGGGTGGTGGTGGTGGTGGTGATGGTGGTGATAGTGAGGGTGGTGATGGTGGTGGTGGTGGTGGTGATGGTGACCATGGCCGTGGTGATGATGGTGATCATGGCCGTGGTGGTGATGGTGGTGGTGATGGACGCAGCAGTGCTGGGCCCTGGGAAGCTCTGTTGGTGCGGTGGCTCCGTCAGTCCTCTCAGTGGCTCTGATGGTGGCAGTGGTGCGCTGTGCATTTGGGAGCTGTTGTGGGGGAGCTGGGGGCCTCGGTCACCCTGGGCTGTTGCCTGCCGGGAGATATGGGGGCGGGGGCGGTGAGGGCGAGGGCGGCCAGGGCCCACGCGGGCTCCTCCCTGCGTCCAGGCAGACCCCGGGGGGGGGGGCTGCCGTGCACCTCTGCGTCCCCTGCCCACTGTCTCAGGTCCTCCTGGAGGTGTGGCAGGGCCTGGGGCGGGGGCTGCTTCCCAAGGCCTTTGGAGCTCACTGCTGAGACCCTCTGACCCCCTCTCCCCCCAGAAATGCCTAGAGCTTAAGACAAGTCTGCTAGCTCGCCAAAGGGGCACGCAGTCATCGCTGGACCGGCTCCGGACGCTCCTGACACTGATCCAGGGCGAGCAGACGCTGCAGGTCACCATGACAACCGCAAGCCCCGCCCCGCGGCTGGCGGGGCCCTGGACCAAGCCCTCAGCTGCCGCCCTGCACTCCAGCCTCCAGCACCCCCAGGGCCACAACTGACCCCAGGGACCTGTCCTAGCCCGTGCAACACCGCTGGGCCTGCCGGCCCTACCCAGGGCTTCTGTCGGCCTTAATTCATAAACGCTATGAATTTCAGACAAAAACCAGACAGAGGTGACCGAGAAAGGGGACAGGAGCCGAGCCCTGCTGGGGGTGCTGGCCCCTCCAGCCAGGGCCCCCCGGGAGCTCCAGAGCTGGGCCCCGCTGGGGGTGCTGGCCCCTCCGGCCAGGGCCCCCTGGGAGCCCCAGAGCTGGGCCCCGCTGGGGGTGCTGGCCCCTCCGGCCAGGG